CCACTGACAGTACTAAATTGCACCAAAAATGCTAGTTTATTTAGCAAGTTTAAATGGTAAAAGGCTCAATCAAGTCTGCATATGAGTCATTATAGATAGGGCATATAAGTAAGAAATACTTTGTTAATTGAGGCTTGTTATTGTGTGCCTAGTCATTATTGTTTTTCTATCTGATCCATCCTCCCATTTTTTGCACATTTCATGCTATGCTCAAATTTCCATGCAACTCCTGATATCAATTTCATTAGTCGTTTATTACGTTGATCTTTTAATTTGCTAGCCTAAATTTATTAATTATCTTATAGTATGTACAGTGAATCCAATATAGTACTATAAAATTTACTGCCAACTTATTGGCGTAGGATGCTATGGAACAGTTACAGAAGAAGGGGAAGGGGAAAGGGAAGAGAAGAGAAGAAGAGAAAGGATGGGCAAAGAGAGAAGAAGAGAGGGAGGAATAGAGAAATTGGGGGAGGATATCAAATCTGTTTTATAATTGAAGTTGTTTCAATTACATCGCATATGTCCCCTTTATATAAGGTTTAAACTAGTCCTAATTGAAGTAATAAAATACTATAAAATCAATCCTTCATCTTGTTTCCTAAATTAAACATCAAAATTGGAAACTAAATATGATAATATCTCTTCTAATATTCTATATTCCCACAGGTTTGGAACCATGATTTCTTTTGGGAATCCATGCAACCAAGAGGTGGTGACATGCCCACATTGGGCTTACTTCAGCAGATTGAAAAGGATTTTGGTTCATTTACCAATTTCAAGGAGAAGTTTACAGAGGCAGCTCTCACATTCTTTGGTTCGGGCTGGGTTTGGTTGGTCTGTAAGTTCTCGTTCTTATAATGTTTACTTGCTAGTGTGTATTACCTTGCAGCTAAATTGCATTAGCTCGTATTTAGTGGTATTTATCGTGTGATGTTAAGCAAACATCAAATTTCTGCTAGACCACCTCTGAAATTTACTTATTTGAATTTTTTGCAGTGAAGAGGGAGGCAAAATGTCTTGCAATTATCAAAACATCAAATTCCATCAACCCTTTAGTGTGGAATGACATCGTAAGAATCCTTTTTCTTTTCGTGTTTCTCCATCCTTTATAAACAATTGTATCAATGATCTTGTGGCTTTGACATTGTTTTGATATCTTTTAATAATGCAGCCAATCACGAGTTTGGATATGTGGGAGGTATGTGTAAAAAACCCCCAACTTGCTCTCCAAGCATGTTCTGCTAAGCTTAAAAGTCGTAAAAAATTGTATTTGGAAAACAAAAAGTAACTTTTACTTTTTTAAGCTTAGCCAAATACATTGGTTATTGATCTAGTCTTTTCTTCTCTTCATTGCACTTTTTTTATTTTTTTACCTTCTCCGATTTTGCAGCACGCTTATTATTTGGACTACAGGGTATGCGTCCATTCTAACGCGTATTTTCTTTTCCTTCTTTTTCTCGGGTCGACTGGACTAATTGACTGTTTCTTTGGATGCTAACACATGAACAGAATGACAAGGCCAAATATGTTAACACGTTTATGAATCACCTGGTATCTTGGAATGCAGCTGCTGTTCGTATGGTTCGTGCACAAGCCTTCGTGAATTTAGGCGAACCTAAGATCCCAGTTGCTTGAAATTTTTTATCTCCTTTTACTGTCCCAGAGACCTGACCCCGCTGTGTATAATTGGATAACATGAAACTGTTAAATCTTCCTTGCCTGCTATTGTGCTAGAATGATCAGATTTTTGCAATTTTTTTTATTATTTTTTATTTTAGAGAAAGGAAAATTAGAGGGAACAATTCACTAATGCCCTTATTAGTCTGTTAATCTTATCCTCAAAATATTTTTTTAATAAAAAGAAAATCTATAAATTTTGTAATACATGGCCTCTGTTTGGGTTCTATTTTTTCAAAAATGTATTTTTTTAAAATTGATTTTTAACTGTACATTCTTTCATAAAATAGTGTTACAAAAATTCAAAAAATTTTCTCCAAAAAATGGCTATTCCCAAAATTTCATGTTAATGGAGTCCAAATAGGGACCGCATGTTTTTGAAATAAACAGAGTACTATAAAACGGATAAACAAATTGGGTCACCAAATCCAGATGTGATTGTAGCGTGTGTTTTAACAATTTGTTTTATGGTATTCTGTAAATTTAAGAAGTATGAGAAGTATAAATGGAAGTTTAGAAAGTAATCAAGACGTTGATGTAATTTTTTCGACAATAACGTTAAAATGTACCCAGCCCCGGCCTAGATTTTGATTCTGCATTCAATAAAACTTATATTTTTAAAGAAAATTTATGTTTTTTAATCAGTTTTAAATATAATTTTTTTATAAATAAATATACACCTAAATAGTAATTGAATGGATTGCAAATCACTTTTGAACTTGAATGCTTATTTATTAGCCACTAATATCACGTAGATCAAAAGTCTTTCAATCTCCGTGCTACATAAATCGCGATCTATAGAAGATAATAATATTCGTCAGCTGCTGATAATCGAAATCTAATGTCATAGTGGAGTAACTAGGGCTGACATCATGATGGCCTAATAGCAGCTGGCCTCGACTTGGCACCGTAGCTTATTTTCTTGACAAGATTTGAGAGGATCAATAAAGAGCTCACTCTCCCTATAAATAAGGCTAAATGGTCTCCTTTAAGAGAAAGACAGCTCGAGCGACCTCGCGATTTAATACAATACACACTCATTTTCTACACTCTTTGTAAAATGACTGTGTACCGATTGTCCAATATAGTTATCAATTAGTACATCCCTCTTTTTTTCTCGAGGTTGACCCGGAATTACGATTACAATTTTTAACGTCAACGATATGCATTCAACTGTGCTTACAATATAACATTACTCTCATTGGAAATTCTCTTAAACTCACTCTCCATAATTCAAGCTTCTTTTAAGGCCTCCATGCAAATCCAAATGGAAATATATTTCTACAAATAAGAAGATACACATATGATTTAAAGTGTTCAAAGAAAAGTAATTAACTTCTGTCCATGTAGAGTGTGACAAAGTGTATGCCAAATTGACATACTATAGGATAATAATCTCATGAATTAGCATTTGAATGACTGGTAAGGATATTCTACCTACCTTACCATAATATATAAGAGGACTAGTGTTATTTTCATGATGCAAAAAGGCGAAATGAAATATCTATTAAAATACTAGAAACCGAGTGACATAGCATGATACTTTCTTGTGCAAAAAAAAAGAAAAAGAAAAAAAAAATTGACATGTTATTAGCTTAAAAAGTTCTTGTGCATGCATTCCAACCTTGGCCAAATGTGACATATAGACCAACTTCAAACAATGAGCAAATAAACTTCAAATCTCCTTTAAACATACCACATAATATATTTCTATTTAAAAAAAGGGGGGTAACAGAATTAAAGCCAAATTCGAGTCCATTGACCAAAAAAATATAGCGGTTAATTTCTTAAAAAGAAAATAAAAATAGAGGCAGCATATTTTTCCTCGAATTTTTTTCTTTTTACTTTTTCAAGCATATTTGTATTACTAATTTTTATAGTAACCAAAATTTACTATATTTTAAAAATAACTTTCACTTTACTGTCAAAATCAGTAACAAATTTATTTCTAACTTCTACTATACAAAAATAGATATACCATTTATTTATTTATTTATATATAAACCTTTCAAGATATTTATACGCCGCTAGCAATAAGCATATGCGTTGCACGTCTTATGTACAGAATGAATGATAAGCGTAATATTTTTTAAAATAAGGTAATTGATAATGTTAAAGAAAAATTATATATATATGCATGTGTGTGTGTGTTTTGTGAAATTACGTACATAATGTGAAAATATTGAATAAATTGAAATGTAAAGTTTTGTTTACTTATTTGTTTATGCTAGACTTGGTTGGACACCTATTTTTAACCATTACAGTGACATCGACCAGTTTTTGTTGGGTAATACCACAAAAGACAAAAGTTTGAGGACTTCTATTGCAGATAATAAAAGACAGTTATTGTATGGAAGACTTTTAATTAAAGTTGAGAGGAGATTCTTTGCAGAATTTGGTCTCCAATTTATAACCAATTTTGGAGTTTTGCACATAAAGAAATTCTTGTTGAGTTAAAGGAGTCTTGTTTGAGTTTAAATTAAACTCTTCTACTTGGTTATTAATCCTGTAAATAGTGGATGCGTTTCATTATTTTGGGTGTGACCAAAGAGTTGATCTGAAAGGAAAATATTGTGAGCATAGCATCTTGAGATTTTTCGTACAAAAAGTAGAAAAATAGGTATGGTAAAGCTCAAGTTTATTTTTTTCTTTATAATGTTTGAGAATTGGGTTGGTGGGTGAAATTCTATATAAATGTAACAATTTTTCATATAGTGAAAGTTTTGACGGTCCGTTTAATTTGTGTTTTATATTTTTTATTTTTCCTATGTATTAATATTCTCTTAAACAAAAGATCATGTAGGTAAATAGTATTAAGGGAAATTGGCGTAAAATTTCCAACAAGCAGTATCAGAGTGTTAGGTGGTTTGGAGCAACAGAAAAATATGTTGTCGTTAAAATATGACGTGAAAAAATTGACGAGAGAATCAATTTTGGCTTGGCAAGTACAAATTAGGGATTTGTTGATTCAAACTGGACTACATAAGACTTTGAAAGAAAAACCATCCAAGAGTTCTGGCAAAGAAGCTGAATCCAGTATGAGCGATAATGATTGAGAAGAATTGGATTTGAAGGCTATGAACATGATACATCTCTATCTGGCTAAAAACATTCTTGTAAATATTCATGGAATATCTGCTACAAAGAAACTATGCAAGAAACTAGAAGAATTGTACCAAACGAATAGCATCTCAAATCGGTTGTACCTGAAGGAGCAATTTCATTCATTACGCATGGAGGTAGGTACGAAAATCACAGACTATCCGAGTGCTCTCAATGGGATTGTTTCGGAGCTAGAGGCTATTGAAGTAAAGAAGGACAACTCCATAAGGAAGAAAACAACTTGTTGGAACTGCGGTCAGACTGGTCACTTGAGGAAAAATTGTACAAAAGGTGAAGCAGGGTTGGCAACTCTATAAGGAAGAAAACACCTTGTTGGAACTGCAGTCAGACTGGTCACTTGAGGAAAAGTTGTCCAAAAGGTGGAGCAGGGTCAACTAATTGCTTGGGGTCGGACAATGCATCTCTCCTGGCGGAGGAGGACGCGTATGATGTGCAGTAAAGTAAAATGAGAACATCCTCATAGCGTGTTACCACTTGTCAAGATAGAGGATGTGTTCTTACTAGCGCGGGTCAGCATATCTGCACATAGCATTGACTGACATTTGATGCAAGGTGTGTAGCTATGTGGTGGTGTTGTAATGTTGATGGCTGATGAGCTCTTTAAAAAAGTCAGTGGGAGAGTTGCATCATAACTATCAGCAACAAGGTTGTTTCGACATGTAGCCAATGAAATGCTTGGAATTTGCGGATAATTCTAAGTGGTTATACTCATATGTTCGAGTATGGGGCCGTTAAAGTATGTCAAAGGCTTACTATTTTTCCAAAGTATTGTGATTAAAAATTATAGAAGAGATAACAAGATTTTGACTCGTTTTCAGTAAGGTGAAAATTGTTGGGTAATTGCTTCAAAAGTCAAAAGTTAGACGACTTCTATTTCAAATAATAAAAGGTAATGATTGTATGGAAGGCTTCTAATTAAAGTTGAGAGCAGAATCCTTTCAATATTTGGTCTCTAATTTACGGCCGATTTTGGAGTTTTGCACATGAAGGAGTCCTTGATTGAGTTACAACTAAACTTTTCTACTTAGTTATTGATCCTATAAATAGTGGATGTATTTCATTATTTTGGGTATAGTCTAAGAGTTGATAAGAGAAAAATATTGTGAGTCTAACATCTTAAGACTTTTCGTACAAATGGTAGAAAAATAAGTGTGGTAAAATTTGAGTTTTTTCTTTTTAATACTTGGAGATTGGGTTGGTGAGTAAAATTTTATATAATTGTAACAATTTTTCATATGGTGAAAAACTTTGACGGTCCGTTTAATTTGTGCGTTATATTTTTTTATTTTTCTTATTTGCTAATATTATCTTGAATAATAAAAGATCCCGCGGGCAAATAGAAATAAAGGGAATTGACATAAAATTCCCAACAGTTTTGTAGTACAGACAGGTACAAAGAAAAATCGAATTAAAAAATGTACATTTGACTAAGTTTAAAATATTTACTTATAAACAGATTAAATGTACATAAATAATTTTCACAATAAAAATTTCCCCATTTTGTTCGTAACATAAACTTTTTGAATAATGTAATTTATAGTGAAGATTACCAAAAGTGGCTGTAAGGTAATAAAAAATTATCATATTAATGTATCAAATAACAAATTGCTATGTATATATTATGTAGGGCGAGTTTTCATTATGAATAACATTGCTCGTTTATACATTAAAAAGTAAAAAAGAAAAAAAATCTTATCTAAACATATCTAAAAATAGAAAATCACGTACTAATCATGTTCCTCATATTAATCCATCGCATTTATTTTAAATTAAAAACCAAAGCTACATTCAATATAGATATAGAAGTAAAAAATCTTATACAAAAGATTTCTTCTTTTTCTTCTTTTTTTAATGGGATTAATAAAAATGAATGAATATAATTTTTTCCTTTAAATGTATCGAGATAATAATCTTTTTCTTTTCTTCATATATTTATATCTAATAAGTTACTGGATTATAATC